TCCTCATAATTAAGTTTAGCGCAGAAGAAATTAGGATTGGAAGGGGAAATTAGGATTCTCAGGCAAATGTATTCTTTAGCTAGCTATAGTAAAATATATGAAATAAAATAATTATACAGGGAGAGCAAAAGGTATACAAACTATAAACCCAAATAGTAATTTCAAATTGGAGATGTAACAGAAAATAAGTTCATGTTAAGGTTGTCTGTCTATCTTTCCTGTTATTCTTACCCCTTCGCCTTTTCCTGTCGCTACCTTTAATCTATCTATAGGTAAATCTCCTATTAGAAGACTGCATAAAGTCCTATAAATTAAATTCTCAGGAATTAGCGATGTCCTGGTCTTCGAGGGGGATTTTGTTAACGGTGTGAAGTCTTTTGTATCTTTACTGTGTTTTTTTTCAGATAGACTAGTAATTTAAATTTTAATGAATGTATTTTCACAGTCTCAGACACATACTTACCATCAAAATAAAATTTTAGTTTATTTAGAAAACCTCTTTCCTGACCAATTTAAAATGTAAGAATAAATGTAAGTGTAAGACACACTAAGAGACAAAAGATCTCACCTGTTTTATTTAGATCATTATATGGTTTTAGGAAAAGTGGGAGTACATTTATTGAAGTTAATGATTTACAATATTATTAAGGAAAAGGATGTTAGAAAATTTGATCAAAGATATTTTATCATGTGCACAGACAATGTACCAAAAATCTCCCCTGTTCATGCAAGGAGGAAGTCCTTTTACAGCTCAGTTATTTTTCTAAACACTAAAGAATACCTTTAACCAATTGCAAATAAATAGCTATGATAGTGATATTCGAGTGTTCTGGGGGCAGAGTACATTTTGTTTAAATGTTGCTAATCAGATTTAGACCATTAAAATGGCTCCTGTGTGAGGGAGGTCAACAGCTAACCTTCCTAAGTATTTTTTCGTAATATTTTTGTCTTAATAAGGTACTTGTCAGTATCAAGAAAAATATGTTTTGTCGTGTGTCTTGCTGTCATGCAGCTATCTGCACCAAAGACACCATGGGTTTGAAACAGACCGAAGAGATCTGTGTATTACCATCTTTGTAGATGTGTTCCTAATTTGTTATCAGAGCTTTTCTTTTCATTAAATCATTTCCTAATATCTGACAAATACATTGGAAATCTTTTTAACTAAATTAATCATAGCATAGAGGAGCATAGGAGTATTCCCTTGATATAACATAGTGTAGCTTCATTTTTCATTTTGCACACCATTTTATAAATTAGGGATTTAAAGCTGAAACTGAACTAGCAATTTTCAGGCTGAACCTAACTCTAATTGATAAAAATCCATCATATGATCTTATGTGAGAAATCTAGATTGAGAAAACAATGCTAAAAAGTGGCCAAATTTAAACTGAAAATGTAATTAATGCCAAAAAAAAAAAAGAAAATTTCTGAAATATGAAGTTTTACTCCTAAGGGATGTTCAGTATTATTACTCACCTGTCATTTACATACACACAATAAAAGAAAGGTAGGAGGAATAAACAAACGTATTGTCCAGATAGAGGATATATTGTTATGCAGTTTTGGATAAAAGCAATGGCTGCAAATCCAGCAAGGCTTGCAGGTTTTGTTTTTTTTTTTTTTTTTCTCTTTCTGCTTTATCATACTTTCCTGCTGATTCTTATGTACTGAGTATTTGAAAATAATAGGAAGCGTGGCATAACACTTACATTCTTCTATTGGAAGTATTAAATAGTGCTGTATTGATTACATGTCACTTTAAGCAAACACAGAAGAAAAATTGAACCAGAGCTTGTGGCTGCGTGCTCTGGAGTTAGTCCTGAGAGTTACAAATTACAGCCTCTCCTTTGGAAAACGTGAATCAGTAGCAGGAAAATACTCTTTCCATGTGCTTCTTCCATGATAAATTATGGTCCGTGATGAATGCCATCCTATAGCAGAGTTTGTTAAACAGTGCAAGTGATCTTTTTTTAAAAAAATGTTTTTTCAGGCAGTTGGTTATGCTAATTAAAAATACAGATGTGAAATATATATTCCTCTTAGTATGTAGCACAGGTGCATTCATTTGCAAGTGAATCTGAGGTTGGTCTGCAGAGTTCAGTCAGTGCTCATACTTTGCTTACTTCACGTAGAGTAGACAAGCTGCTCTTACAGACTTGTAGGAAGTCCTCAAAGCAAAAAAAAACCATTCCGTATTCACTTGGCAGAATCTGAACTCATTTCCCTTTTCCTCTTGTTTTAAAGTGATATGTTGTTAGTGATTGTTGTGTTTATTTCCTCTAATTTCATTCACCTTTCTCACTAAAGTATGATTTTATTTTTTTCCTAGTTGCTTTAAGATGCTTATCAGTGGGTGTGTATCTCTGAATAACCAGATGTAGGAGCAAGAGTTATTTCCCATCTGGGAGACGACTTTGGGTCCAGATGACCCACCATGTGAAATTAATCAGTTTTGGGTTGGCCAATTTTGTCTTGTATACAACTGTAAATTTTACAGGATTTTTGGAGATAGAGATTATTAGGACGCAATAGATGTGCCATGTTTGCTCATACTAAGTTATTTTCAACTTCTGGATGAGTGCCAGTTCTCAAAAAGATTTTAACATCAGCATTAGCTGTGAGTCTGGGGGAAAAAAAATCATCTTAGCAGAGTTCTATTTGTATTAATAGTAATCCAAGCTGATAGTAGATGCAGACAGCCAAAGCCTCTTAGGCTCAACACAGTAATACTAATGTTGTAGCAAAACCTTGGTATACATCAGATGCATAATTAAGAGACGTGATATTCTGGTTGAAAGCCATTTGTGAGATGTGTTAATCAACAGAACACCTTGTTATTTAGAAGAATAGTGGTTATTCTGGTCATCCTGCCTCAAAAAGAAGAAAAATTCATTTGTGTGAGAAGAAAGCCTTAAATAACAAGCCAAAACTCGGCTGTGGCCCTTTCCCTTTCCTTCCTCTCCTGTCTCCAGAGGAAAACTACCGAGTTTCCTGGGGTGCTGTGAAGTTTCACTTTCATGCAAAAAGGTAAATTGTTTCACTCTGGAATGAAAGTACATTCTGAATGAGGGCAGCTGTTTGGCAGCAGCGCTGGGGGAGGGAAGCTGTGAGGGGAGTTTGGTTTCCTAAGTTCAGTCACCAGCACTTGTTAAGCAGCTGAGCTTCAGAGAGGTGCTTCCTCCCATTCCCTCCAGCCCTACCTCACAGCTTTGAAAATCTGGCTGTAAAGTTTATTAATTTCTGAAAAAGTATCCCAGAAGCACAGGATTCACTGATCAGTCCTGATTCCTTTGCTGTAAAGCAAAAGTATTCTAAAGTAATTGTTGCCATTTTAAAGGAAGGAGAAGGAAGGGAGGATTTGACTTCCAATCCAACTAAAATCCTTAGTATTTGTTAAAGGTGTGGAAGCTTGACAGCCTCTTCTTACAGTCATTTTCTGCAGTTCCTGTTTTGGTGCTTTCACTTAGTTCTTTAATTTAGTGGGTTACATTTTTGAGGGCAGCAGACCCTGATGAGCATCTTTCAGGTCCTGATAGCACAGCATAATAATTAAAAAGAAATATAACGCTCAGTTCCCAACCTGGAAATTTCTTCAAAAACCTCAAATACATTAGGGAGCTGTACACATGTATTAATGAGTAAACAATGTGGAGAAAACACAGCAAAAAGCCGTACTTAAGGTATTATTTTGTTACGTTATTTCTGCACCCAAAGCTGTTCTGAGGCTGCTTTTGTGAAACAATAGCGTAAATCTTTGATAGCTAGAAATCAATTATAGTCTGTGCTAGCGTGCTACTCTTGTACAAAACAAATCATTAGCAATCATTGCTTTCCAACATAGCAGTATTATTTTGTACTCTCAGGTAAATGGCGTTGAGTTGACCAGGGGGTAATTCCTAGAGCTGAGGTTTCACTCTAGAAACTAGATCCCGGTTTCACTCAGACACCAGCATCATCTGACGGGTGCGTTACGTGCGTGCCCAGAGCAGTGAACAGCAAGGGGAAATACCAAGCTGCCGTGGAAAGGAGGTGGAACCAGGAGAAATACTTCAATCGCTGTATTTTGGACCTCATGGTTGATTTGGGGACGTAACGAACTCTGAATGTGCATTGAAAACGCTAACACTGCGGAGTTAAAGTGACACTTGCAAACTTTTTTTTTGTTAAATATATAGTGCAAAAGTGAGAAAAAAGTGCTGTTGTTGGTAGTTTTAAAAGTTGTATTTGGGGAGAATCTAAGCTTAAATTGACTTGTTGATTATAAAACCTTGTGACTCATGAGACTAATCGTGTTCAGAAAAGTAAACTAAGAATTACATTTACTGCTAGCTGCAGGGGTGCCTTCAGTCTGCACATTATTTAGGTTTTGTTACACTTTAAGAGAATAATTTTTGTATTTGGTATTTACCTGCAGAGACTATGGAAAGTGATGGCATATTCCTGGTGGTGCTGGTTGCATTATAATACTCATGAAGATAACTGTTTTAAAACTTCTTAAAATCTTCTGCTTTTCAAAATACTACATCCTTTAATAGTTGCATTTTACTAAACTTTCCTTTGGCTATCTGAGTGGACTACTCCCAAGTCTGGAATGGGTTCTTGTGAAAAGTATGGCAAGATATTGTGTTTTACTGTTCAGTGTACCTTACCTTACTTCTAAATGTCCCATGAATTAATTGTAATCTCTGAATTAATTTTAGCTGTAATAGTGCTGTAAGTTTTTTTTTTTTACCTCCTGTGGTATGTGCTATCATAATAGAACACCCAGTAGAGTTTCATGTCATATTTGTACAAATCCTTTAACAGACTGAGTAATTTGTGCATATAATCTCACATCTGTTTAATATGGTGTATGAGTAATATGTAACTTACTGGACTAATGCCAAAGCAGTGTAAGCTAAGAATTGATTCCCTGCTTTATTTAGTTGCTTTCATAATGGCATTTTAACAGTTAGGAATGTAAATACTTTTTCATTGTGTTTTCTTCTCTTCAACAGGATACTACAAGTATAGAAAAAATGTCAAACTGTTGTGAAGACATGTAAGTGCTGTAAATTTTCCACATTTGTTTGCTGAAAGGCTAAAGGAGTAGCTGGGTTTTTTAACTGTGAGAGAGAAAAGGAACTGAAGGCACTTTGTTAAGATTATTTTGCATGGTCCTGTGCCCTGTACTTTTTATCTCTGGCAGCAGCTCACTTATCTTTTGATAGTGGTTGTGCATAAAGTAGCCTCATGTTATTCTCATTCCTTCCCTACCCAAAGCCAGTGGAACTGTGTATTCTTTCAAAAGTACAGATCAAAAGACACTTTCTGCTGTGTCTTGACATACATTTCATTGATTCTGAGGTTCTCCTCTGCTTCAAAAGTTGCCTTCGGTTGATTGATGACACAGATAGTTTCTGTTCTCCGAAGTTAAGTCTCAGCTGCGTGCCGTAATGAGAGAAAAGCTGCATTTGTGATGCTGGGACACAATTCATCAGAGTCCAGTAATGGATCCCCAGCCAACCTGCATTGTTCTAGCTGACTGAAGTGCACCGTGGGCGTGCTGTCTTTCACTAATAATGCTGTCTTCTGTAGATCAAGGCCCCGAAAGCCATGGCAGCAGACCTTCTCAGAAGTTTTTGGCACCCACTGGAAGATCCTGTGGTTTATTCCTTTCAGGCAGAGGCAACCACTCCGAGTTCCCTACCACTTTGCCAATCACGTCTGAACAGATGGATGGTGGGCACAGATGGGTCCTCCATGCTGGAAGTGCGTTACAGGTTTTATGATAATGGGACTGTGACAGTCTTCAAGTCAATTAAAATCCTCCCACCAATCGTAGGTATCACAATGTGCCCCAGGCTTTATTTTAATAGTGATCTTGATTCTGTTCTGAGATTAATACAAGTTGTATGTTTAACTTTAGGCATATCTGCTTTCAAATTAGCTTTCCAAAGGGATTTCTTTTGTCTTTGAGGTTAATACCAAAACCAAATGACTGGAATGCAGTCTTACACTATTTGTTTGATACTGCCTCTTTTGATTATTATTTTTTTTAATTTTTGGTAGGAAGCACTGAAGTTTACATTGATTGTTAGCTTTCGCACTAAGTGTCTTATTCTACCTTGGATTTTTTTAAGTGTTTTTATCAGTAGGTCTGTCTAGATAATCATGTCTTTTTTCAGCTACACGTCTCAAATTCCCTGATACTGCCATTTATTTATGATACACAATACTAATCCTGCAGTACCACACTATAAAAGGTAACATTTAAAACTGAGGCAGACTTCTTCCTAAGCCTTCCTCAGAGAGATTTTTATAAATACACGTAAATGTATGTGTTTATATAGAGAAATCTTACATCTTACAGCTACCTTTCTACGTAAATATGATCTTAGTGAAAAATATCCATGTCTTTATGTCAATAAAAGCAGTGAAATGTTCCAGGGTAAAATATGCAGATAGAAAGCATGTTTTCCCTATATTCCAAGGGTTTATTTGCAATAATTTAACAAAGAAGTTTTATGGTGCAAATACTAGAATGGTTAGTTTTTAAAAATGTAAATTTAATTAGCATAATGTACCATAAAGAAAAAATATATTGTCAATAAAGTTATAAATTTTTGTTTAGTCATGGTTAGCTGGAATTGGTCTGTTCATATATTGGAAGTATATGTGAAAATATTTTAAAATATTTATACATAAATACAGATATTTGCTACTAATGTATTGTAAAGATTATGAACTGATTTAATAGGGTACTAAGTCGATGTATGATAGCTTGTTGTGGGTTCTTTATGTATGGAAGTAGCTAACCAAAGAAAGCATCCTTAAGACAAGAGCTGGTGAAATGGCAACAATTCCCAAAGTACTGGCTCAGCTTTGCTGCATATGGAAAAATTATGTAATTTATTATAGGCCTCTGTATCTATACAAATATCAGCATGAGATGATTTTTGAAAGTTCAGCCTTTTCAGTTACACTGCTTACTGTGTTTGTTGTCCTGGCTAACCAGACTAGGATCCACCTTAAGACAGCCATGCAACAGGATAATAAGAGGCACAAAAGCAGGGTGTAATACATTTGGATTGTGTTTGGAGAGAGTAATAGTTCATTTGTGAAATTCAAAAAGAAGGGCTAGAGTTGTCATGAGTTGTTTTCATAGTGAATTTTTGGATCAGCTGTCCTATAGTCTTTGCACGGTCACTGCCAATGTTGGGTGTCCCTGCATTGGATTAACAGCTTTTGTTGATCCATTGAACCTTCCAGAAGGTGCATCTTGAAAATCACTTGAATTTTAAACTTTTGTAAACCTCTAACATTTGAACCGGCTTTACTTTGTGGCTACTTTTAAAAATAGATACAGTGTTTTCTTCATTCAAATTTTCAAGCCTCATGTTCAACCATTTTTTTCACAGCATTTTTACATGTGAGTTAAAATTTTCTTTAAGATGGTATTGGCAGCAATATTTAAATGAAAGGAAGCTTGAGGAGAGTGGATGGAAAGGCTGCAGCAGTGCTTGAAATTAAAAATAATGTGCATATACATTATAAAGTAATGGCTGTATACTCTTTTTTAAAAGAAATTCCACTGTTATATTCTGTATGAAGCACCTAGAGGAATAGTAGCAGTTTTGTTTCATGTGCCAATATTTTAATCTGTTTCATAAGCAAAATGTGGTAGCTTATTTTAAAGTTTTTCACACTGGTCAGTTATCACAGTCAGCAGATCAGGCTGTTCTGAAGCTGACGAAGAAAGGGGATCAAGAATTTATGTATACTTCGTATGTTCACTGTGGATGCATATTTTCATTCTCTCTGTTTCCTACTATCATTGTATCGATTTAGCTGTGTGTGGAGAACCGAGCCTGTAATACAGAGTCTGCCTGAGGGTCGGAACCTCAGTTAATAAACTGTGTAATTAATTTTTGTACGTGATATCCGGCGGAGCAATGGAACCGTTACATTTTGCCTGCTGGGTGGGGATCACAGCAGCAGCAGCCGCCCAAAACGGTGTCCGTCCCGTGTGCTGTATTCCGCTGTTTTCACCCCAAAGAAGGTGCTGGCCGATGGGGTGGGCCACGGAGCCCCGTGTGGGTGGAGCGGGAGATGTTGGGTTTTATGCATGTCTCAAAGGCAAGGCCAAGTCAAAACTGACCGGTTTCAAAGGAGCAGCCTTTCAACAGAGGAAGTGGGGATGCAGGACAGAGACGGGGCTGGAGTGGAGAGGGAACTAGTTAAGATGCAAGGCAGTAAGGAAGGTGGAAAGCCCACCCCCAAGCTCTATTTTTGTCTTCCCTAACTTGGTGGCTTTTCCATTGCATTCACAAGATACATCTGAGCAGACAGGCTCAAGGTGGGGGGGGGGGGGGGGGGGGGGCAGGTTGTGTCCCCCGTGGGGGCGGCCCGGCGCCGGGACAGCTCCCCCGCTCTCAGGGCGCCCTCTGTCGGCCGAGCCTGCGCAGCGGCAGCGCGGGCGGCGGGGAGGGCGACCCCGTCCCGGGTGGGTGGGTTGGGGCTGGCGGTGGGGCTCGGGTCTCGGTCCCGGGGCCAGGGGTCCGGGGTGAGGGGGACGCAGGCTCCTGAGGGGAAAAATCTAGGTGTACATTGAAGTGAACGATGCATGAATGCCGTGCCGCGTCATCGCTCATGAACATGGTGATCTCAAAGAGTCACAGTTCCTCAAATGTTTTCATGTATTCTTGATTTTTTTTTTTTTTTGTAAATATATTTTTTCTCAATCTCCCATTCATCCTTAATCAATATGTAATCTGATTAAGGCTTTCCGAGTGTGCGGAGGAGAGAAGGGGGAATTTGGAGAGGCTTCTCCTTTAGGAGGCACTGAGCTTTACTCCTTGAATGACAGCCTCTAAAAGTGTGAAAGTGATCAAAATATTTTTTAAAATTTTAGCCAACAACCATATAATGTTATTAGTATATTAGATTAAAGTTTCTGAAACTGATTCTCAGAAAGAGTTGTTCCAGCAGGAAAAGACCAGGCAGAGTTTTACGATCTAATTTGAAATTCCTTCAACCTTGAAATCCTTTTAACCTTTATTTTGAAATCCCACTTCTTTCCCTCTGTCTCTCCTTCATGACTTTTTATTTTAGTAGAAACCGTATTCTTAAAAGCAATTAGTGCTTGCCATTGTTATTAATTTAAAAATCTTATAGACAGTATGCATGAATTTCATCCTGATATCACATCAGAACTACATGTTTCATTGAGCACACTGGATATTAGCTATGCACTTAACAATATTTGATTTCCTGAGGGGTACAAAGAGAAGTCAAAGCACTAAAGAAAACCAACCTGAAAACATTTGAGAATAACTGGTTAATTTGCAGTATGGGGTACCTCCTGGAAGGTCAGAACAATGCGACCTTGCTGTCTTCTGGTAAAATCACAGATTTGAGATTTCATCTGAAAAATCTCGATGTCTAAAATAAAAGATTCTGCGTTAGGTAACATTTACCAATCAATCCTCTGATCTGTTGGTCTGAAGGACAGCTTCCGTCGAACAGCTGGTAGAGTAGTTGAGATACACAATCATTTTCAGTCTTGAGGAGGATTCACAAGTAAGAAGTTCATCTATCCAGTTTATTCAGTGAATGATACTTCTCAGAAACGATAACTTCATGCTTTTTTTGTGTGCTGTTTTATTGGCCACTGTATGCCAATGTAATGGCATAAGATGTAGGTGGCAAAGATGGGATTTCTCCAGTACTGAGAAAGAGAAACCTTTCAAGTCAGCTTTGCATTCAGATGAAACATGGTACTAAGATGCATTCTCTGGTAACCTGAAATTTTTGGTTAACACAAAGCACTTTTCTTTGTTATGCATTATTTACGGTATTGGGCCAACCTTCCTGCCAGCCGTCCATCGCTTGTAGCAGAGTGTTCCTGTCACATACTGGAGGATGACGTCACGTAGGTGCATTATTTCACGTGGCTGTCTCCACCCTTTGTCTTCACCACACACTCAGTTCTGCTGCAGCTCACAAATAAGAAGCCGATGCACTGGCTCCTCTCAATATCCCAACTGGAAATATCATTGCATACCTTAAAATGTGTTTTCTCTGTATGGTGGTGTCTTGATCATTCTGGACCCAAATTTTTCCTTATTCTACATATATTCCCTTCAGTAATACTGTATTAGCACTTCTAAACTATTCCTAAAATAAAACCTACATGTATTTTCTAAAGTATGAATTGCATAAAACCATGTGGATCTTAATTAGTACCAACTAGTACTTCTCATCAATCCTGTACCTCTACAGTTGTGTTACATCTGCAAGCATAATAAATCGATTTTTTTTTGGTATTGTGTATAAGAAATACACTTTTATTCATAGCCTTGTAACTGCTTGAAAGTTAACTATCACAAGACAAAGGTACCATTCTGGCTTTTGCACTTCAAGAATTTACTAGCTTTTGTTTAGCCACAAAAACTCAGATCTGATGTTGAAGCCTGTGAACAAAGGTTTGACTCTATTGAAGTGATCCAACTGAGCATTGCGGCTGTCCAGCAGCACTGATAAGGATAATCTTAGAGGGATTTTTATATACATAGCACAAGCCCAATGTTTATACTTCTCAGGGCCTGCCCCTTCTCAGTGAGGCCATTTCCCTCTGAAAGGATTTTTCTTTTCTGCCTTCAATAAAAATTGGTGTTAATCATACCCAACAGCCACTTTGTAGCTCTCTGTTAGCTCTTGACTAGGTTGAATGAGTAGTAGGTGTGTTTTTCAGGTCCTGGTAGGCCTTGGTGTGTTATCTCCCAGCAACATCAGGTTAGTGGTCAGGTAAGAGGCAGAGGCTCATTTTATCACCCTTTGAGATTATCACTTGATCATCTTAGATTTTGTGGTGCGCTGACTAATGTGAATCCTTGAAGGACCTTTGAAAGAAGAGGTCCCAGATCTCTAGAAGCTTACTTTACACAGATGACTTGCCTAAGTTTGTCTACCTTAGTTCTACTGCCAAGTAGTTGATTCTTGGCATTAATGTAATTAAGAATTTTTGTGTTTGAGAAAGAGGGAGTTAGATTTTAAAATAACCTCAGTCAGTGTCTCAGAGGTTTAAGCTGCAGATAGTGTCTCCCATAAAATCAGGATGGTAATGACTTCTCATTCAGCTCTGGATCTGTTCTCCAAAGTATTTTGCTGTTTGTCACTCCGTATTTCAGTAATATGTCTACATATTACATAGGAAGGGTCAATACAGAGTGCAAATGAGACTGTTTTCAAGAAGCATTTCCTTGACCAAGGAAGAAATTCTGCCTGTGAGCAGATACCATTGTGATTTATGTAAGAGATCAGACCTTTCTTATCTGTACCTGAGTCTCATTTACCCAGACAAAATCATTCCTGTTGTCATGAATTCTCTACTGTAGTGAAGTTACTACCTTGAATGAGATGCATTCATTTCTCTGCTCACTTTCAACTTTGATGGCTCTTTTCCTGTCTTCTCAGTGAGCACGCAGCACCATAGAGTGGCCCTACCTGTAGTCATGTTCATATCATCATAAGGAGTATTGGTTTGATTTAAAAAAATTAATAAATTGTAATTCATGATACGCAAATTCTTTTTTCCCAGAGAATTTGTGTTTGGTTTGAGAGCAAGCAGTCAGTTGCTTCAAAGATTTGAAATCTGTTATGGATTCTGTACCCTGAATGAAGTCACACCTCTTTCTGGGTTTTGAACAACTGCTGACGTTTTTTGCTGTAATAAGGCACAGTTGGCACTTTTTGTAACCTTAAGCATTATTTTGTATATAATTCAAGATTTTTTTACCTTGTTGTTGCCTGAATCAGTATCTCCTGACCTAAGTCGGTACGTGCACCGTTCTGGTGCTGCCACAGGTATGTTTAGCAGCTGGAGATCCATGTCTCTTGTGCCAAAAAATAACTTCTTTAAATTGGTCCACTTGCAAGACTTGAATTCTCACATACTTGGGATTTTAAGAAGAGACCTAATCTCCTATATCTCATTCTTTATTAACAGACATAAATGTTTAAAAACATATGGTTTAAGCTGTTCTTCAGATATTCCTGATAATTTATTTTTACTCATTACTTCGTAAACACATGGTTAATGAAGCACCAAGTGGGATGATGTCATGACAAACCACATTGTCATTCACACTCAGGATAATTCCAGGTAATTCAGGATTGAGATTCACATTATTGTGTTCAGGATAGAACAAATAATGATATTGATATGACAATTGAGATATAGATGCAATCCTTTGTTTCACAGTCATTAGGAAATGTTATAAATGCAATGCTAAGAATATTTTTCTGTACAAATTATTAACAATTTTTGATTAAGTGAATGGACATATTTGAAAATACACAGACACTACAAAAGGTGATTTCAGTGCTGTTTAAAGTTATTTAAAACAGATGACATGTGACAAACTCCTGCTTGGCATGCTGTTTATATCAAAATATAACTACTGTTGTTACAACTACACTACTACTACTAGTGTGTCAGGCACCTTATTTTCATGTCGACTGTTTTATATATGTGATTTTTTAGATTAATAGTTTTAATAGTTAGGAGTGGAGAAAATACACTGGGAGTTGTCTCCTGCATTAGTAAAGTTAAATTGAATTACTTCTCTTACACTAATAAGTTGAATCTAATTCTCAATCAGTCAAAATATCAGGACTTCAGAACTATTTGAGTGATGTCAAGTGATGCTAGGGATTACTTTTGGGAAGAATGGGTACTTCTAAGTAGAGTGTCTGTACTTATGTGACCTATGGCATGACTGAATACTTCCAAAAGCGCTGTTCTTCAAACAGATTTTTGTACTACTTTCTCAATGGCTGAGCGTCTGAACTCCAGGATTCTTTGAACTACTTGCACCCTCCTTAGGCCTAGGGCTCCCGTTCCCCTGA